TAAAGAGCTGAATGGCCAATAGCTAGGCAGGAGAGGATAGGTGGGACTTCCAAGTAAGGAGAGGAACTGGTGATGGGGGATCTGAGAGGTGGGGGTTCACCAGACACAGAGGAAGTCAGATGTACAGTACTGAGAAGAGGTAAGGGGCCACATGGCAGAACATAGACTAATATAAATGTGTTAATTTCAGTTTTAAGAACTAGTTGGGAACAAGCCTAAGCTAAAGGCCAAGCTTTCATGCTTAATAAGAAGTCTCAAAAAAAAAAAAAAAAAAAAAAAGGAAGTCTCTGTGTCATTATTTGAAGCTGGTATTCCAAAGAAAGTTGGACTACAGGTACATATGCAAAAATATCAGTATATTGAAGAGATATCTACGTGCCAATGTTTACTGTAACAATATTCACAAAGAGCTAAGACATAGAAACCATCTAAATTTCCATGGATTACAAAATGTGGTGTGTGTGTGTGTGTGTGTGTGTGTGTGTGATGACTACCATTTGACCTTCAAAAAGAAAACAATGCCATCATTTATAGAAACACAGATGAGCCTGAAGGGTGAGTAGGAAATAAAATAAGCAGCACAGAAAGACAGTACTGCATGAGCTCACACATGGAATGGTGGTTCCCAGGGCAGAGGGTGGAAATGGAGGGAGGAGGAAAGAAGAGATGTCAGTCAAGAGTAAATTTTTACTTAGACTGAAAGGGTGATTTCTAGAAATTTATTATGTATCATGCTATCTATCATTAGCATTGTACTGTATGTTTAAAAATTACTACAAGAGCAAATTTCAAATGTTCTCACAACACACAAAATTAAACATGTGAGGTGATGGGTAGCATCTCTTAGCTTTTATGATCTCAGTTGACTCAACTATTAAGTCACCTCTTTAAGCAAAATATTTCACAATAGTCAGGAAGAACAAAGTCATCCTGCAGTAATTCTTAGCTCACAACAGTGAGTGAATCTCCATGGCTTAATTCAGTAAAAAATACTTAGTTCATTCAAGAGCCTTAGGTTGTGGATATTCTAGCATCCCACACACCATCACTACAGTGATGACATCACGTCACACACCATCACTACAGTGATGACATCACGTCACACACCGTCACTACAGTGATGACATCACGTCACACACCGTCACTACAGTGATGACACCACATCCTTGGTGGCAGGAGACAATGCAGACATGCCATACCCCCTTGAACCCTATTGGCTGGTTCTAGTCTCCTGACTTTCACTTAATAGCAGAGGAGCCTGGGAATTTTTGCAGATATTTATACAATATTGATGATTATCATTGTTCAAAAGGATATGTTAATGTTTATTTATTTATTTATTTATTTATTTATTTGTTTGTTTGTTTGTTTGTTTGTTTGAGACAGGGTCTCACTATATAGCCCTGGCTGTCCTGGATCTTTCTATAGACCAAGTTGGCCCAAACTTATAGAGACTCCTGCTTCTGCCTTCTGAGATTAAAGGCATGCACCACCATGCCCATCTTCTCAGTGATGTTCTTCAATACTAAATGCTCAAAACTGACCATTTGTTGTTTTCTAGTCACCCATATGCTGTTCTCCAAGCTCTGTGCCTGCTAAGACTTAGTTCTTTTTCTTACCAAATATGTTTGTAAATGTTGTTCTTGATACTTATTGAATTATCAGTTAAATATTATACTGTCCACTAATAAATAATGTTTCTATACAGCTGCCAGGACCCAACCCCAAGAATTTTCCAGCCTGTGGTGTGATAGTGCTGGACTTAGAATGTATTCTCCTACTCTCCTCTTTATGTTTCAACTAGAAAAAGCACACCTCAGGTTCTCCCTAAATGCTGATTACTCCCAGCCCTGATTCCTTCCTTAGCAAGATCAAAAGCAATGTTCTCTCTACAGGACTGGGAGCTCCTCTGAAAACCCAACACACATTATTTCCATTACAACCAATAGAAAAGTGGTCTTTTTGGTCAATTTGGGAAAGAGGAAAGCACCCACTTTGTCCCATAATGTAAGCAACAATGATCACTGAGGATGATAACAAATCTTCTAACTGGGGGGTTGGAGAGATGCTCACAGGTTAAGAGCACTGGCTGCTCTGGCAGGGACTGAGTTAAGTCTCCAGCACCCACATGATGGCTCACAATCATCTGTAATTACAGTTCCAGGGATATGGTGCCTCTTCTGGCCTCTGTGGGTAGTGTGTGTGTGTGTGTGTGTGTGTGTGTGTGTGTGTGTGTGTACATTGTGTTCTGGAAAAACTCAGACTATGACCTCAGGGAGCAGAACCCCAAGTGCAATCTGAACTCCCATAGTGCCCCTGGCTGACGACCTGCATTGCAGTCTGATCATAGAAGATATGAAGGGCTATTCCCCATTCTGACCTGGTCCAGAAGATGGAAATCCTGCTAACATCCTGTAGACAAGGTATGTGAGTGAGGGCATGCTCCTTGGAAGTGCGGTCTTTCATGATCTCAGTGATAGGCTCACTGTGTTCTCCAGCTCTCAGGGTTGACACCACTTCAAAGAGGCCACTGTGTGTGGTGACTTCCTTAGTAACCAGGCAGAGAATAACACTAAGATTGAGAAGTCACAATGTTCACAGGTGATAGGGGCTCCAACCCTTAAGAATTTCAGCTCAGCGATGACAGCATGTGCTTGTGTAATATGGTCCACATGTGAGCTGGCTCCTCCAGTGAGGGGACCAACAACCACAAATGGCTATCCTACATCTGTTGGGTTTTACCTTAGTTACTTTTCTGGTTGCTCTGCCAAAACATCTGAAAATGAAGAACAGGAGTCAGGGTATATTTTGGCTTGCAGTTCAAGGAGGTTCAGCTGGTTATAATGGGGAAGGCCTGGTGTCAGGATGGGAGGTCACAGTGAGTCCACTGTCGGGAAGCAGAGAGAGATGGCTGCCCAAGGCCCTCTTGCCCTTGCTTTTGTTTTCTCCCTATTGGGGACCTCAGCTCATTTAAGGTGGGTTTTCCACCACAACCTAATCTAGAAAACATCTCACAAACATGCCCAGAGATGTTCCTCCAAATTGACTGTCAACATAAATCATCACAAGCCTACCAAAACCAAACCACTTTTTACCCCACACACCATGATGAGATCTGGAGGACCAGGTGCTCCCTGAGGCTGATGTAACTATCTCCATGCTGAGGAAATTCATTTCCCTAGTAAGAAGGATGAACACAATGCCTGCTGTTTACATCCTTGGGGATGTGATAGTGTCTTTCAACATTGTGTATGTTGCCCAGGATTGGTCATAAGGATTTCCCTAAAATTGTCAAAACATTGGTAGACATACAACAGAGTCAGAAATGCACATAGAACAAGAGATAAGATTTGAGGTGACAGGAGAGATACAGAAACAGAGATGCAAAAGGAACAGAGAAAAGAGCAAATGACAAAGGAGTAGACAGAGAAAACGGAGAGAAAAGGCTCAGTGCAATGAAACAGACCTGAGGGGAACAAGAGACAGAGGGAGAGAGCACAGGGACAGGGACAGGGACAGGAGAGGCAGTGGAGGAGGTAGTACAGATGGAGGTGACAGCTGAGGGGAGATGACTCTCATTAGTTACATGTGTCTAGTCAGTTCTGAAACCAACACCCAGCTTCCTTACAACATCAACAAAATAAGATTAAGTTGGGTTCTTATCATTTGCAAGCAGAAAAAGTACCTTTTGTTGACTGTAATCTTTAAAAAATCAAAGTGAGCTTTAATCAATGTGACTTCACGGGACACATTTGGAACACCGGTGATGAGAGGTCACAGCATCCATCCCCAACAATTCTATCATGTTTGGTTGCACTGTCCTCACCAACCTGGAAGAGGCTGGGGTGGTGTGAGAACAGCTCACCAAACAGCAGAAGTACCTGCCATGAAAATGTGACAGCTGGTCCCTGTCTCCTCAGTCCACCTTAACCAGGAGCCCAGGGTGCTTCCGATCACCTTTGCAGTAGAAACCTCTACTTCCAATCGACTGTCTCACCTATTCAGAGGGCCTGATCCAGTTGAGGGCCCCTCAGCCTTTGGTTCATAGTTCATGTGATTCCATTTGTTTGGTTATTTGTCCCTGTGCTTTATCCAACCTTGGTTTCAACAATTCTCGCTCATATAAACCCTCCTCTTTCTCTCTAGGCAGTGGTACCAGGTCCTGGGCTCATGGCATGAGTTAGCTGTTTGAAACCTGGGACTTATGCAGGGAAGCTTGGCTCAATCTGGGAGGAGGGGACTGGACCTGCCTGGACTGAGTCTATCAGGTCTATCCCAGTCCTTGGGGGAGACCTTGATCTGGAAGAAGTGGGAATGGGGGTGGGCTGGGGGGAAGGGGAGGGGGGCAGGAAGGGAGAGAACAAGGGAATCTGTGGCTATTATGTAGAACTGAATAGTATTGTAAAATAAAAAAAATTAAATTAAATTAAAAAAGAAAGAAACCTCTACTTCCATCCACAGTTTGGCTGGACCACTGTGGATTCCCTTCTTCCCCTCAGTCAATTGGCCACCAGGCAAAGTGGGCAGAAGCGGCAAGCAATGCTTTGTACAGCCTGTGAATACGGCAGGAGGAAACAGCTTTCCGGGAGACTGCTTCAGTGTTAAAGCTCAGCTTTATTCCAGAGTGAGGAGAAATACATAGAATGGGGACAGCAGCCAGGGTATCATCTTATTTGAATTTGGCAGCCAGGTCCTACCATACAGCTGGAGCACAAAACCTAATTATCATATGGGCTTGGGGGGGGGGGAGCATCTGTGTCAAAGGTCACTCTTGAGATAGGCATCCAGGTTTAGGGACAGCTACCAGATAAGGTCAGGCCTCTGAGCTTAGCGACACTATTCAGGGAGGGGGCCCTGCTGGAAAGGGAGTTCTCCATTTTGTGCCATGCCCAGAGAGCTGTCCAGACATGGTGGACTATAACCTTAAGTGCAGGGTACCCCAACAGGTCACCTTGTCCCACACCACTCCCACCCAACCCTGCTCAGGAAGATTCAGGATGCACATGATTCAGAATCATGTTTAATTATGAAAAAGAGACAAATGTTTTCAGCTCATCTCTTCAGCAGCCTGGATGGGACAGTGAAAACAGAAGGCCTGGGGGTCTGAGTAGATCAGGCCGCAGTACACAAAAGGTCTCTGGAATCAGTCCAGGAGGAGAGCAAAACAGAGCCTTGGGGATTTGGGGATCACAAAAGTTGAACTGGTGGATACACTAGCACCATGCTAGACTCTGAACCAGAGAAGGACAGGCAGGCTGGCACAGACAGGAACTGGGGTCAGGGACATGTAAGCCTTACAGTGCAATAGCCAATTCAGTCAGAACACTCTCACGAATCACTGCAGGAGCCCTGTGGAAGACAGAGGGAGGGAGGGGTGGTCACACAAGGTCCCCTGGAGATGCCTCTTTTCCTGGATCCCCAGAGTTAGACAAAGGAAGCTGGTGTCCAGGCCACGCCACCTTCCCCATCACCTGTGCAGAGGGGAAGGCAGCTGAAGGGGGCAGGAGCTTCACAGGACACAAATGTGGTGGGGGGAGGAGAAGCCACCCCCCCAGGGAATATGAAGGATCCGATCTTTTTGGTAAGTCAGAGGGATCCATCTCCTCCGCAGGACTTTTGGCCTCTTCCTGTCACTATCAATGTCCATGGTCAGGGTCTCCAGTGAGGGGCACAGAGCAGGCAGCATCTTGGTGTCTAAACTCAAGATGAGACTCAGGGTCCACTTAAGATGCCACTCAAGTGAAGAATGCTATGGGATGTCATTCTGTATGCTGTAAATATGTGTTGCTTTCATTGGTTGATAAGTAAAGCTGTTTGGGCCTATAGCCAGGCAGAATAAAGCTGGGCAGGAAAGCCAAATGGAGATACAGGGAGAAGAAGGGCAGAGTTGGGGCAGAAGCAAGATGTGAAAGAACGGTCAGTCACGGGCCACGTGGCTGTACATAGATTAATAGAAATAGTTAATTTAAGTGTAAGAGCTAGCTAGCAATAAGCCTGAGCCATCAGCCAAACATTTATAATTAATATAAGCCTCTGAGTGATTATTCAGGACAGGTGGGTGGGGGAGAACCCTCTGGCTACAGTGGCAAAGGCCTGCTCAGGAACAACCTCTGGAGCTTCCTAAAGACAGCAGCTGTGACACTCTCAACCCCACAGCAGAGAAAGGCTATAAACCAGGACTCTGACAGGTACACCTGTCTCATGCCTTTCCCTCACACCCATGCCCCTGCATGCAGACACACACACACACACACACACACACACCACCACCACCACCACCACCACCACACCACACCACACCAGATAAGGGCTGAAATATTACCTGCTGGAGGAGGCCCTCGAGGTCCTACAAAAGGAAGTCACAGAGAAAGGTCTTGTTATAAAAACAGGGATCTCTCATGTAGCCCAAGAGGCAACAGGACATGAGCCTTAGCTGAAGTTGTTCTCTCATCTGTCCACTAAGACCCTGAGCACCCCAAAAAACTGTGTGAAACTGGCGCCAGAAGGAGAGGAAGCAAGGCCCGTGCTCTCTCAGTGGTGGAAACTTCTGGAAAGGAGCCAGTGAGACAGTGGTGGATGTCCCAGAATGAGCTCCACCATGACTGAGTGGCTGTGCAAAATCAGATTCCAGTGTCCCCCTCCTGGGGTCTCCTGTGGCCCTCCCAGCCCAGCTCCCTCCCTCAGCACAGCCCACCTCCCTCAGTTTCCCCAGAGCTCCTCACCTTTCTGACTCCTGTGACGGACAAAAAGGCCCAGCCCCAGGAAGATCAGCCCCAGCACGAGGCCCCCGACGCCACTCAGTATCTTGCTCTGGGCAGACTCGGACTGCACCCCTGGAGAGCAGAAACTGAGTGTCAGCTCTGTCCCCACACATCACAACAGCCCTGACTGAGAGACTGAAGTCATAAGAGGTCAAAGAGCTAGGAGGACCCAGGAGATCTAGAACACAGGGTGGTGGGGGAGTGTCAAATACAGCAGTGAGTGAGAGGGTCTAAGTGATGTTTGCACCTCACAGACTTATCTATAATCTTGGGCTAGAATACCCAGTCAGCAGCTATCACCGTCAATTCCTCTGGATATTAGGGACGAGTTCCCAGTGTATGTAGTGATCTCTCAGAGGGATGGGGTAATATCAGCAAAGATTCCATGTCTTGTGGGGCCCACAAAGAAAGAAAAAAGTTTCCCTTACGCCACTCCACGGTGACAGGACTCTGCAGGCTGGGGTGCTCCACATGGCAGGTGTAGATGTCCCCCCGCTGAGGGGTCATCTCCAGCATGACCAGGATCTGGAAGGTCCAGTCCCCGTTCTGAATAAGCTGTGTGGACACGACCCCCACCGTCTCCTCCTGGCCGTTCCGGAACCAGCGCACTTTGATCTGGGCTGGGTAGAAATCTGTCACCGAGCAGACCAGCATGTTGTGGTGGTTGAGGGCCTCCCTCCTGGACAGGGAGACGGCCACCTTGGGCTGCTCTAGAGAAATAGATAAGAAAAGACAGTGAGGTGAGTATGTGGGGTCACATGGATAGGAACATAGTGAGTGAGATGGGATCCATGTGGAAAGTCCCCATGAAGGAAGAGGCAAGATGGGAATGCCTAGGTTCTAATATTGAATAAAGATCCATTGAGGAAAGATCCTCAATTATAAGGTCACTATATAGGTCACTAGGACCTTTAAGAATGAGTGACCTTGCTCTTAATACTGTATCTTTTTTAAAATTTATTTATTTTTATTTTATGTGCATTGGTGTTTTGCCATGGGTGTCAGGTCCCTTGGAACTGGAATTACAGACAGTTGTGAGCTGCCATGTGGTTGCTGGGAATTGAACTCAGGATTTCTGAAGAGCAGTCAGTGCTCTTAACCACTGAGCCATCTCTCCAGCCCCAGTAAACTTGCTCTTATATAACATGAAATGTATATAAAACAAAAGAAAAATATTGTGGTTTCAAGTCTACAATTTTTGAAGAAGAAATGAAAAAATAACTCAAACACATCACTTCCTTCTTCTTCTCAGACCATCATGTACAATCGACAATTGTGACTGACTTTATACACCATGCCCACTACCTCAGAAGCCATCTCTCTGCATTCCCTTTATCCTTTCAGGGTGAAAACACTGTAAGTACTTAATGTGTTTCAGAATTAAGGACACACTTATGTTCCCTCATTTTCTCCTCCCGCATTTTCCCCCACAGTCAAGTGAGTTAATTACTGCTGTCATCACTGTGATCCTTTGCTGTGAGGAATTAGCTGCTAACAGGACCAAACATCAGACTATTTCAGTTGAATAGCAAGGTTGCCTGGAAAGTCATACCTTTTGAGTTAACTGTTCATATAGTTGTGATGTACAATATTCAATCTGAACACGATGCCTCACACGAACCTTTAATTGGCATCATGTCTAAGAGGCTCTCCAAGAGTAAGAAAATGTGTTAGAAGTAGAAATGAGCCAAGGAAGGCGATGTCTACTGGGCTAAAGTAATGATGCCCACACAGCCATGGACTCATCCAGAATACACCTGGTCCCCACGAGATGGAAACAGGATCCCTTAAAGAGACTGCTTGCTGTAGGCTGAAGGAATGTATCATAAGAACTCAGCTGGTTATGGCAAAGGAATTCCTCCAGAGGAAGCCAAATTTCAATTTGGTGTTATTTGGCTTGTTATATATCAGCTGTCTTCTGTTATGAAAATCATGTGTGCCTTCATAGTTTTTCCAATTGACTTTCCCCTAAGAAGGACTAACAGTGTGGACTGATCACTCTCTGGACATACACATTCAAGGCATTTGGAGAACAGCCTCAGGAAAGGCCTTCTCTGGAATCAGATTCTCCCTTAGCCACTTTCAAGACTAACAGTAATAACAAGTCTCCTGATTTAATTCCACAAGGAGACACTGCCTAGGTCAGCTCGAGAGAGCTGGGGTTAGGGCCACTTGCTGATCTTGCAAAGGACCTGGGTTCAGTTCCCAGAACTGTTTGTAACTCCAGCTCCAGAGTTCCAGTGATGACACCTCTTCTGTTGTGTTTAGTATTTTCCCCTCAGATTTTGAGTCACACAAATCTACGTGATCCAAGTCAACACAGTCTACTGCAGAGCACGACAGAACCGCTTTTAGGTCAGTTTCAGGCAGCAAACAACAGGCACAAAACAACCTCGGCCTCAAAGAGACAATCAAGGAAAACAAAGACCGGTGAATAATTTGGCGCCAAAAGTTAAAATCATTATTACAGGATCGTGGTCTCTCCCTCCTTTAGCTTCCCTGAGTTGGCAACGCTGACGGGTGTCCTGGCTGCAGGTCTCAGAGCAGAGCTGGGGTCAGAGGGGAGCATCGGCCACACGGAGCAAATGGCACAGGGCAAAGGGCAAAGGTGAGGAAGGAGGGAGACTCCAGGGAGGAGCTGTGTGGGTCAGAGCCGACAGGGAGTCTGTGGCAGCTCCTCACGCTGGGTCCCTTCCGGTCCACGCCCCCCACAGCCGCCTCCCGTGGGACCCGCCCCGCGCTCACCGAGCCGCCGCAGGGAGGTGGTGGCCTCCGTCACCTCGTAGTTGTGTCTGCACACCGTCTCTATCGCGGCCCGAGTCTGCTCCATGAGATCCTTCTGGCTGTTCCAGTACTCGGCCCACGACCGCCCCAGCTCCGTCAGCGCGATGTACTCGCCCACGTCGCTGTCGAAGCGCGCGAACTCCTCCCGGTTGTAGATGCATCTGGTCACCAGCCGCATGTGCTGCGTCCCGTTGGTGTAGTAGCACAGGGCCCTGAACTGGTACACGGAATCCCCTGCGGACGGACGGACCGGCGGACGGACGGACGCGGTCAGCCTGGGGCGGCGCCGGGCAGCGGAGACCCCGGAGCCCCGCCTGACCCCGCGCCGGAGCTTCAGGAGGGGACGACGTGGTCCCCGGACCTCAGAGCCTCGGGACGGGCAGTCGGGAGGGCGCCCCGCCTGACTTAGAGGGGTTGGGACTGAGTGGACCCCGCCTCCACGGGGCTCCAGTGAATGTCGGAGAGGTTTCTATACTCATAAAGAAGAGTGCAAGAGAGGGAGTGTAGGGACCGAGCTCGTCCGGACAAGAATATCCCTGGAAGCACAAATTGTACTGGGTGCATTTTTTTTAATTTTTTTTTTTTAAGAGAACATTCAAAGTTGAGTGGGTAGAAAGGGGGGTGGGTCTGGGTGGAGTTGGAAGATGAGGTGAATATGATAAAAATACATTGTACGAAATTTTCAACGAACTAATAAAACAATGATGGGGCCTGGAGAGCTGACTCAGAGGTTAAAAGCACTGGCTGCTCCTCCAGAGGTCCTGAGTTCAAATCCCAGCAACCACATGGTGGCTCACAACCATCTGTAATGAGATCTGATGCCCTCTTCGGGCCTGCAGGAATATATGCAGACAGAACGTATGTGTAATAAATAAATCTTTAAAAAACAAAAACAAAAAACAATGATCGGAAGAAAAACAGTATTTGGCTGCTTCTGCTACCCCAACCCAACCACGGGAGAGTCTCTCCTGACTTCAAACAGCCCTGCTCTCCCCGACCCTAGGGGCATTTATTCACAGAGAGAGTCTGTACTACAAAACAGACAAAGGAGACCCAGGTGACCTCGAGGGACTGGCTGCCTGCACGGGTCATTCAGAGGAGCATCTTAAGAATAACTGCGGAAGGTAAGTCACCACCCTGCAAGTGGTGGGGGTGGGGGTCGTGAGGGGAGCTTTCTATAAAGCTCCTGTCTCTGAATTGAGGGGTCTCCCCTGTATGTATCACATATTTCCTTTCTATGTCTAATTTTTTCTTGGAGATTCGATTTACCAACCCAAGTATCTGAGCCTCAAGATTTCATTTGATGAAGAACCTAAGACTCCGTCTGCTGGCTTCTCTCAGGGTTAGACGAGAGTTTGCCTCCCTTAACCCTCCACTCCACATCAGGTATTTTCCTCAAATACCAGGACTACAAGACCGTCACTGACCATTGTTTCCCCATCTCAGGATCCAGCACTTCCTCCTCTCCCCACAAAATGCAGGGGTAGGGGTTGGGGACTGCTCTGGCAAACCCTGCTGTTTCCTCAAACATAACGCCGCGCCCCTCTGTCCTGTCCTTAGTATTAGATTTTAACTCTGTCTCCTACGTTAATAGGCCAGACTCGGCCTGTGCAGTAGGCACGATTCTGACTTCAATACTAGAATATGGAAATGAGAATGTAGCCTCACCTTCTCTTCCAGAGACAGGAGATCTATAATAAAGGACTCTTAAAACCGGGATCTTACCACCACCACCACCCCTATCCACATCCCAGGGTCCCTCAGAGGCGTTCCCCCAGGGTGCTGCCTCTGGAGAGCTCTGCCCAGGACTTACCTGGGGAGTCTCTGCCCTCGGCCCCAGGGCTGCTCGGCACCGTCAGCACCACAGCTGCTGCAAGGAGGAGGCTGGGGACCTGTAGAGCCATCCTGAAGGAAAAGGTGATGGCAGTCACCAGGACCTGCTGTGCCCCTTCAGAGAGCAAAAATCTGTAGATGCCTCTATGAGTACTGGGGTAGGTCCCAGGAGAGGAACCAATCAGCACAGGAGCTGAAGCGTGTCATCTGTCTCTGGGCAGACATTTGTTTACAAAGGCTCTCTATGCTGTGCATGATCTATATCTTCATGGAGCCCCACTGGGTGAACATTTGAGGTGACGGATCCTCTCAGTTACAGGGTAAGACTGTCCAAACTGCAGACTCACTGTGTTTGGGGTCTAAAGAACCAAAAGAGAAAAGTGAGTCAAGTATAGACAACTTCGGGATAGTTATTTTAAAACTACTGTTCTTATATTTAAGAGGTTTAGTAGGGGAATTAAGTAGAAGCCATGTATTGGGGAGAGATTAGCCTTTGATACGTCTGACACTCTGAGGAGCCTCAGGTGAGAAAGCAGAGTTCTTGGGGAGTCAACAAGTCACTGAACCTCTTTCTAATCTTGGACTTCTTGTCAAATGTAAACCATGCCCCATGCACTGCACACCTACATCTTCATACACACACAGTAAAGAGTAATGTGATGTGGTTAATAATGAAAACTGTCGTGCATGCGTGTGTGTGTGTGTGTGTGTGTGTGTGTGTGTGTGTGTGTGTGTGTTGGAAATAGCAGGTTAATGTGTGACCCAGACCTATAGACTCAGGAATCTTCCTCATTCAGGAATCTATTGTATTCAAATTCCAAGAAAAATACTTCAGAAGTTAATTAATCCAACTTTTCTCTTATAAATTCTTCTGCTGTTCAAATCCTCCACAACCATGAAATAGGTCCAATGATGTCAGCAAAGGAAAACTCCTTAACATTTTAGGACTTCCAGACAGAGTCACCTTTAGTTTCAAGGACAAAAGAGCCAAAGATGTGAACCAGCAGCTTCAGGAAGGATGTCCACAGGCTTGTCCCACTGTGCCAGCCTGAGTGGCAGTCATCAGTGTGTGCTTCCAACACATGTCTCCTCATCTAAGCAGATACTACCAAGTCTAATTATCAATCATCTAGAGCGGTGTCTGACAAACACCAATGACTAAACATTAAGTCTCTTCCCCTCATTCAATAACACTATATCATTTTAGATTCTAGTTAAACAGGGCACAGGACCTAAAAGCAGAGTTGACCAGGGAAAAGGGAAATGGGGGGGGGGGGCAGCAAGAATGTCCCTTGAGGGCTCTGGCAGCGCAGGTGAACTGCGGCATTGCTGGGGTCCACACTGCTCACCCTGATGCAGAGAACCAGACAGGGACAGCCCTGGGCTCCCACCAGCAGTGGTGCTCAGGATGGACACAGATCACTCAGCCTGTGCAGGGAGCATAAAGGAGGATCATAAACTCAGGTGTAAGCCGTTGGCAGACAAACATGGCCATACAGGGACCTTGGAGATGGATGCTCTCTGTGTCCTCACCCCCACCTCAGACCTCCAACAATCAGCTGAGGGCTCTGCCTCTCCCACTCCTGTCCTAAGGAGAAGCTCCTCAGCTTTGTCCTGGGGCTGTGGAGCGAAGTCTGTGTCACACAGGGGATTTCCAGCTCTCCCAGGCCTCTTCACGCAGGCTTTTCACCTAGCAACAAAAGCGTCACCAGGAAGCTTTTTCTGATTGGCTGAAATCACATGAGGTATGTGGTGCCTTGGCCTTCTGCCAGCCCCTTCTGCCTAGCCCAGCCTTCTCTAGAATCCTCTGCAGGGTTCCTGTCCCTCCTGTGTCACTCAGGATGGTCACCTGCTACTGTCCCGGTTTGAAAGGGAGGGAATCCCAATACCTCACCCCACAGTGCCTCCCCTGGATCACACTGTAGGGCTCTGTGAGGACAGGACACCTAGAATGAGAACAGGCTAGACTCCATCTGACTGTAGAAGATAAACTGCTGTTCACACTGGCCAAGGTTTTACAGGGAACACCTTCGGTTCAATAGACATAGAAGAAAAAAGTTGTGGATTTCTTCCAGGGAACTCAAGAAGAAACCCTCTCCTCAGCCAGCATCACTGGGAATCAGTACTTAGTCGGTGGGATTAAGTGTGAAGCTAGTAATCAATCTGTCACCAGAACGGTCATCCAGGACTCCATTGTGTCAAGTGCACCTGTGGGGCCCTGAGGCTCCTAACACCAGTATTAATATAACAGGAAGGATGCTCCTGGGTTTTCCTTTAATAAAAAATATATCAAGCAACTACCCACAAGCTTCCTTAGTCTATTTGAAGTTATTTACAAATTTCCACTATTCAACTCTTGAGCAATGAGTCATATTAACTTCTGTTATAAATATAAAACATGTATTTTATTATTATTCAGAGTTTTTCTCTTTAAGTCACATTTTAGAAATCCAAAGAAAGAGTCAAAGGGCAGCAGAGAATCCAGAAAAGCCATTTCAGCTCAGAAGATCAACTTTACTGACAGAAAGAATGCACGCCACAGGCCACTGCATGAAGCAGATATGTAGCATGAATCTTAAAGAGTCTTATTAATAAAATCAAACCTGAGGCCAGTTATTAGGGTGAATGCTGGAAGATCAGAGAAGCAGAACAAGCCACAGCTACCTCACCTCGCCAGTTCCTCAGCTGATCCTGTTTCCTCAGACCGGAAGCCTCTGAGTTCTTATCCAAATGAATCTCAGCTGAACTGCTGCTCGAAAGCCTGAAAGCTTAACCAGCCAAAAACTTCTAGTTTCTGGTCTTCACGCCTTATATTTCTGCCTTCTGTCCACACTACCTGGGATTAAAGGTTCACTTCTTGGGATTAAAGGCTTGTGTCACCATGCCTGGCTGTTTCCAAGGTGGCCTTGAACTCACAGAGATCCAGAGGGATTTCTGCCTCTGGAATGCTAGGATTAAAGGTGTGAGTGCCACCATTTTCTAGTCTTTGTATCTAGTGACTGTTCTGTCTCTGACCCCAGATAGGTTTATTGGGGTGCACAATATTTTAGGGAACACAATACCACCACACAGATGTAGTTTGTGAACACTCCTGTGATCTGTGATAACCTGTACACACATCACTTTCTGCTGTAGAGCCTTGATCTTGAATGGCTAACAACAATCCACATATCAAATGCTTGGTTCCTAGCCCAGCACATTACTGAGACAGCAGAACCTTCAGCAGGTGAAGCCTAGGAGGAAATCGGCCATCAGTGTGTTGGGGATACAGAGGCTCTGGCCCCTTCCTCTCTCCTTGTTTCAAGGCTTCCATAAGCAATCAGTTTCTTTCCCTCTGTGTCCCACCATAAGGATCTGCCTCACTACAACCTGAAGGTAATGGGGACAGGGGACCACCGGAGGAAACCTCTGGACTGGGAGCCAAAGCAAACTTCCCGCCTTGTAGACTGATGCTGATAACACCACAATCTACTGAAGAGACTTAGTGAAGCCAAAGATTGAATCAGGGTCTGGATTCCCATAGCATCATAGATAAATGTCCAGGTTAAAATTGAAAAAAAAAATAATTGCCAGGTGTGGTGGTTCACACCTGTAATCCCAGCAATTAGGAAGCTGAGACAGGAGGATTACCATGAGTTTGAGGCTATCCTGGTCTAACAAGTGCCAGGCCACCAAGAGCTTCATAGAAAAACCCAGTCTTATAAATAAATAGAAAAGAAAAATACTGAAAGTCCAGTATGACAACATGTATGCCAACTGAAAGACAGCACACGTTAAATTAAATTTAAATCTAACCCTGAATTCTAAGTACTTACTGAACTCTTTTAGAATTGTGCAAAAGGAATTTTAAAGCAACAATCATAAGATAGCTCTAAGAAGCCATTTCAACCAGCAAAACCAGATGTCATAAAGGAAAACCAATGGAACTTAGAGAGTTGAAAAGTAAATGACCATGATTTACTAGGTGGACTTAGTAGCAGAATGGAGTGACAGAGGGTGGGAAGAGATCAAACTAGAAGATGTGAACAGAAAGACCCAATCCAGGTAATAGGAAGAAATCCTGGGGGAAAAGCCCCAGTGACCAGTAGAACTGAGACACGAGATCTAACTTCCCCGTCACTGAAATTCTGGAGAGAAAACAAAGCTCAAAAGCACTCAGAAGACAACGGCTCCATGTGCTCTGCTACTGTGTGACCCTGGAATGTCCCCAAAGGCTCGGTCTCCAGCCTGGTGGTCTAGGGAGGTGGTGGAACCGTTAGTGACTTCCACTGGGAGCTTTTTAGTCAGGGAGGGAGGATGGGAACCACAGGTTATCTATCTTTCCTCTTATGTCTCCTCTCTTCCCCCCTCTCCCCTTCTCCTCTCTTCTCTTTACCCAGCCATGAGGTAAACAGGTTTCCCCTGCCAGGCACTCACACCCTGATGCCCTGTCCTACCACACATCCAAAGCAACAGGAACTGCTCATGGACTGAGGAGACCTCCAACAGTCTAAACCACAACAAACCTTTGTCTCTATGAACTCATATTTGTTAGAGTAATGGAAAGTTGACTAACAACCCCCCCCCCAATTTACCTAAAAACATAAACCTACCTATTCACCAAGAACTAAACCAAACAGGTTAATCACAAAATCTATGGGAAGATATATGATAGTGAAAACTAAATCAAGCTTTAACAAAGTGGAAAATAGCAAAAGAAAAGACATATTGCCTATGTAGAGAAAATAATTTCTGTGTCAGTGGATTTCCTATTGAAGCCAGAATGAATCAGCTCCATGTCTTCAAGTGCTGAAAGAAACAAACTGTGAACTCAAAAACACATGTGACATGAAGATGCCTTCCAAAATGAACTGTGAGAATCTTTCACCACCAGCTCTGCTACAAAAGGATGGTAAAGGAGCTTACCCAAACATCTGTAAAAGGTTGAAGGGGACTTTTAGAATGTTTGAAGGATGGACTGGAGAATGGCTCTGTGCTTAAGAGCACATAGGCTGTCACACAGGACTCAAGCTTAGTTCCCATCATCCATATCAGTTGGCTCACAGGTCCCTGTGACTCCAGCTCCAGGGCACCAGTGCCTTCTTCTGGACTCTGAGGACACCCACACATACATGCATGTGCACTTGTGCACATGCACATA